AGTAATAAAATAAAAATATGTGAAATCGTAAAATTTTTAATATGAATTCAATAATCGTGAATTTATGATAGGTACAACACATGAGTAAATTTTACCTTTATTCCTAAAATACATACAATATTATTTATGTTTAATTATTATATATTTTGCTAAACCCTTAAATTATTTTTCCCCATGTAAATTATTTTTACAGGTGAAGAATTATATTGCGTGTACTTTTAGTTCTCTATTAAGCATTTTGTTTATGAAAATACACTACTAAATATGTATATATTTTCATTTTAACGAGAATGGTTCATAAACATATTGAATTATTTTTAATTATTTATGTATTTATTTGTATATAAATATATGCCTAAAATGGGAGTTGTATAACGCACACAATATTTTATAATTTATGTGTTCTTCTATAGCGTAACGTTATAAAAATATGTATATATTTTAATTATTTTATATATTATTATTTATTGGTGTTCTTGAATAAATATGTCATTCTCTTAATTGATATATATTTTAGTTCAATTCCCTTGAGACAAAATGAACGTACTTATATTTTGTTCTAAACTTAAGTATATCTTAAAGTAAGTTATTTTTTCTACACATGTTAAAATAATGCACTAGATTTTTTTTATTAACTTTATTTCTTTACATATTATTATTATATATATATATATATATTCGAAAGGAAAGTCGTACATTCAATTGTGAGCTACATATTATGGAGTGATTAATTATGGATTTAAAAATACTCATTACTATTATTTCATTTAGCGTTACATGAATGCATATGTAAGTTCTTAGTTTATTAATTAATATTACACAAAGCATATAAGTGAATATTATTAAAGAGTTAATGCTTTTTTGGTATATATATATTTATGTTATTACATTGAATAATACATCCAGTCACTTTGATAAATTCTGTTATTGTATGATACTTGACCAATATAAATTATTTCAGAGAAATTTTTTATACGCATTTTCAGTGTTAATATATATAAATAATCATGTTCTACAAAACATATTTTACGTCTACATATCATTTATTATATAATGTACTAAATGGTATTACCTTTTATTTTATATATTTTTTAAGTGTAATGTGCAAAAATATTTGCTACATTGTATGTATAGTTTTTTAGTTATTTGTTTGTCCAATGTGAATTAGAACCAATTTATTTGTTTGTATTATATATTTCAGACAACCTTTATTTATTATTCTTATATGTGTCCATGAAACAACTGGATTAAATAAATGATAAATACTAAAAATGAAAAAAATTATAAAAGTATTTACACACAATAGAAATATTTTAGAAAATACTTATGAAGAGTTTCAGTATAATATTAGCATGTACCATATAAAATAATATTTACCAACAATCTAAATTATAATATCTATTGATTTACCTTTTGTAAAATGTTAAATTATTGTAATTCATATTTTTATGAAAAAAATCCTATAGACGGTAATACATGCAATTAAATCTAAGAACAGTTTTTAGATTGTTGTTGTATGTGGGTTTTATATAAGATAAATAGTACACTATTTTATAGCATATCCTTGTATAATACACTTTCTAATATTTGTGTGTTCAATTAGATTTATTAATTTATGGATATATATAGGACTAAAAAAATAAGAACTGTCATCAGTGGTTATATCATATACTAATTTAAATTTATAGGACAAAGGAAAAATTTTCCATTTACATACGATTTTATTTTTAGTGATTTCTGTAAAAGTATATTATTTTGCATATATTCAAAGCAGCCATTCCTTAGAATATTTTAATTATTTTCCTTTTGCATCTCATTTTGAGAATGTAAAATTAAAAGACCAACCTTCACAAAATCCACATGGAAAATTCAGCATACATATTGATGATAATAAATTAAAAGTAAAATATTAAAATAAAGCAACTGATTCTAGAATTTCTAACAATAAATTATATGATTCTTTTGTTACAACTGAAATGCATTTAATTGAACTCAAAGATTGTATACTATATAATCATTAATGTTTACATATCCTTTACTAAAAATGTGAAAAAGCATGGTCATACAGAAATAACTTCATTAATCACACATCTTTGTTTAACATCTTAATAATGTAAAATATTATTTACGTGATATATACAAAATGTCTATTTGTTCATATTTTTATTTTGAGCCACATATTGTGTAATAACTGATTGAAGAATTATTTCTTCAATTTTCTTTTATTCATTTTGATAATATTTTAGGAAATTACTTTCCCAAAATGGATAAAATGCGTATAGTCGTAGAATACATTGCTATAATAACAACTATATGTATCCAAAGCATAATTAACCTATTTTTTAGATGTTATCTAATAGATGTTTAAAATATTTTGTATGTGATGTGCAATGCTGATCATTTTTTTTTTCATTGTTAAAATGCAAATAAGACAATTCATCCTATATAAAGATAAAATGAATTAATATATATGATTATTATAATATAAATTTTTAATGAGCTTGTTTGATGTTTTGCTATTCTTTCTATTTTTATTTATATATAAAGGCTGTTAACATTAATCAAGTATTGTTATTGGGCGATGTATTGCGAAAATTAAAAGAATGCATTAATTTATTATATTCTTTAATAAATGAATGTTTTATAAAAAATCAGATGGTGAATGATATATGAATGCTATATATTAAACAAACAAGTTATATTTAATAGATATAATTTAATAATTTAGATGAATATGAAAATAGAATGTAAGAAAAAAGAGATATATGATTGTCACACCTTTCCTTAAATAAATATTTTTCCTTCACATAATTATATATATATAAAGAAGGATTTTAATTATGAATATAAGTAAAAAACAAAAAAAATAAAAGTATATATTTTATACTAACTGCATAAAAAATTTCCTAAAAAACAAACAGCATCTTATGCGCAAATTTATGAAATAACAATTAATTTCAGTGTGTTTCATCATATGTCTAACTATGTGCATAAAACACCGAAATAATTAATATATGGATCTACAATTATATAAATTATTTAACATTCTATATTTAAATAAAATGTTATATCATAGTGATGTGTCTGAAAAGGGCACGGATTTATTATTCCTTATAATTATCTAAATTTTTTTACATAAAATAATATGCAATTTTATTAGGATTACGAAAAAACGGACTATATAAAATACTTGAATAAATTTGGTCTCATAAAATAGTATAATTTTTCAACATTAATTAGCTTTTCTCCCTAGTAATAAACATAAACGTGGTTAAAAATAGGTTAGAAATGTTTAATTATTATATAGATTATGTTAATATGTTTCAAATTTTACGTACACATTTTTATAATGTTAGAAATATGTATAATTTTATCATTTTTTATTACTATTTTGAAATGATGATGCTTATCCTCCAACAAAATAAATGTTCCAAATTGTATGTTAAGATGTATTTATTTTATAATGTCACTAAAAAAAAAAAAAAAAAAACATATGATTTAAGGATACGAATAAATGAAAAACAAAGCAAAAATTTAAGTTGATTCACATGCTTAAAAAGTGTGAAATATTGATAGAATTGCCTCATTTTGTAATTATAATTATAGAAATCCTTGGAACAATGTAATTTTTATTAAAAAAATGTTCTGAAAATATATTTTTTAAAATATTTTTAAAGGACACTTATTTGTTGTATAATATGCAAGCTATTTTATATTTTTTTCGCTCTTATATTTATTTTTATAATATCAATTATAGATGTGCACAACAGGGCTTACACTGTGTTATCAGTACTGGATGTAATAGCATAGCGCAGTTTTAAGGTGCAAAATAATTTACAACACAGCAACGTTGTTATTATTCCGCACAAACCATTTAATATCAACAATATTTGAAATTTCATTTAGAGGATATTCAAAAAATCTGATAAATTTTTTTATAAATAATTCAACAAAGAAATTAAGAATATCTTCATTAATTTATGATTGGCACTATAATACTATTATTAAATACGTAAAAATTTAGTGTGTTGCTTATATTGTTATATATAGTTTGATCTTTTTTTTGTTTTCGATTTTACCTTATAATAATAAAAAATAGCTCTTTTTTACATAAATAATGTTAAAAAAAAATGAGTAGAATAAATTAGTAAATAATAATGCCTACGAATGTGTAGTTGTTTAAATTCCAAAAATGAAGTAAACTATTTCCTAAATATTTTGACAGATTATTATATATTCTGGCATTATATATATTAATATATAAAATTTCATAGCATTTATAATTTCAGACGTATAATTATGTTAAAAGAAGATGACGAAGACAATACCTAAGCCTAGTTTGGTAAAAACAGATACATAAATTACTGTTTATGAACAAAAACTTTTATAAGTTCTTTCTCATGTAACATAATTACACTATATATGTTGTTAAAACTTAATTTTAGTACTTACACTATGAATTTTCTATGGTTATTTTTAGGAGGAAGTTTCAAGGAGTTTAGAACTCAATGAAATGTATGAAGAATTCTTTACAAAAGAAGAAAAATATAATTCTGATAATTATTGTAACGAAGTAGAAGAGTATAATAGTAGATATAATGGAGTCAGTGCCCTCTGCAGAAAACTAGTAGGATTTTTAAAAAAAATACCACAAACTACTATTGTAAAGACGCGTAATGATTATTGTGATTATTTAACGTATTGGTTACATGATAAAATAGGTGACATATATAAAAATACTTCTGAAAAAACGGAGAATATACCCTTTTTTAAAGATCTTATTAACGTTATGAAAAAGGTTAATAGTGAACTAAAAGGATACAATTGCACATTTATACATGATTATAAAGTTAGCTTAGATGAATGGAAAAATAGAAAATTTTCATATATTTACTTAAAAAACTATAATAATATTAAAGAAATTATTAATCGTGAATTTATGGATAATTGTGATATGTACATTACGTACCTTAATAACATTAACACACTATATACAAAGTATAAGAATAATAAATGCACAGGTTTTTTGTTTTTCCTTTCTGTTCCTAATTACGTTGATTGTTCTTCTAAATACAAACCACATGAACTCTTATCTACATTAAATAATTGTAAAGAAAAACAATACAAATCTGCTATCAGTGCATATGAGGATCAATTGGAAAATGGGAAAACTGCAACAAGTGGGAAATCTGAAGATGAAAATCCAGCTGGTCCAAATCTAGTAGATTTACCAAGCTCATCAGATTCATCAGAACAGTCACACTCTCCAGGTCCACCAGATGTAGTTGGTGAATCATATACACCAAATACAGAAGAGACAGGTCCATATGTACAAGTTCCCATAGGTTCAAGAAAATTAGCATTAGAAGCTGCAGGAGCAGAAGAACCCGTAGATCATAGAAATTCTAATCATTCTCAAACAGGACCTTATATTCCACAAGGGAATTATGATAACCACAATGCTGGTTCAACAAGCATACTTATACCATATGAGGGTACCATTGATTTTTCTAATTTTTTTCAAAGAATATATGACATATTGAATTCAAATGATCTTCGTCACATAATCATGGGTGCTTCAATAATGGTAGTAGTTATCTTCCTCATATTTTTCTTTTCAGTAACTAAGAACTCTATTTTAAAGGATAACAATCTTTTGATGATATTGACACTTTCTATTCATGAGTGTAATTATGAAACCAGACAAATTGCATTTTTACTATATTTTTTTTTTTTTTGTATTAGTCTACTTCGTCAGGTTCCCAATCAAATGAAAGTGAAGAAAAAAAAAGAGATTATGGGTGGGATTATTGTTATAGGGACGAAGAAGAATTTTCTATATGTGGATCAGAACTACAACATGAGAACTCCAATATAAGTGATGTATATATGTCATATCAACCTAGGCGTGATTATTATGGTTAATTAAGTATATGACTTGATAACTATTAGAATAACCATTACAGGAGGAAATCATATTAGCATTATTTAAGAAATTATCTTTATGAACGACAGAGCAACAAAATTAATTCTTATATAAAGAAATTCTTTGAGTATTTAAATTACTTCAAGAATAATTAACATCTACTCGAAGTCAATGAACATCTAGAAGTGACAGAAAACGTATATATATTATGGAGAAAAATAGTTTAAATATAATTTCTAGGGGCATATTCTCACATAATTTTAAAAAAAATAAAATTAATTATTATAAAATATTGTGCAGAAAATAGGTTAATTATGTATATTTAAATGTTTGATACAAATGACTCTATTTTGATGAAAAATTCAGATGTGAAAGATAAAAAAACAATAAATATGAACAAACGATAGAAGCAGTTCCTATGGATAGTTTAATAAAACATTGTATTAAGAAATTTATTCGTAAATTATAATACACATTGAAAAGTTCTTGTGAACATTTGTTTGATTATTTTTAATTAATGTAAATAAAAAGAAATTTTGTTTTAATTCATTATATTCATGCCGGCATAACAAGTTATTCATAAATATTACAGTCTCCTACTTAGTTTTTTTTGTAGTTATTATTCTTCATTTTGTTTTTTCTTTGTTTCTTATTTCTTATTATATTACGTTTAAAAAATTATTTTATTATTTTTTTCTTTTAATAAGACCTACCTGTCTGTTCTTGTTAAGCGTGTCCAACAGTTTTAACATTATGGCAATAGCATAAGCTATCAGAAGCTTACAGACACCAACATGTTTATAGTATCCCGTCTTTCTATTTGAAATTTATTATAATTCAGATTAATATAATAATTTTTTAATTTACTCTATATGCTGTTTCTTTTTTCCTGTTTGCACATCATGTACTAAAATTTGAGGCAATAATTTGATATATACCTTTAAAATTACGCTTTTAAAAATAAAAAAAAAAGAAATATAAACAGTTTGTATTTTATTTGATATATAAATAGACAAGTTTAATTTATTTCATTCTAACATATATAAGTTTATGTTATACAAGAAGCACATTTTATCAAAATTTTATGAATGTATTATTATATATTTTTATGCACCAAAATATGGTACATTATTTTTCCCGAGTGCTTTGGTGACGATAATTATTCTAAATAATACATTTCTACTAAAATGGAGGATGTTTGTTTATTAATAATTATTTGTGGATATATCTTTGGCACTAGAACAGTGAGTTGCGTTCATGAATTATTCATGTATACAACTTAGGAATGTTATGCCTACGACATGTAAATTAATAACAAATTAAGGAAATATATTATTATATTCTATTATAAAGAATATATTTTGTTGTAACAGAATTTTTTACTCTGTAAGTTAACCATAAGGGAAAAAGTTTTTTTAAATGTTTTACAGAAGCCTTATTTATTGATAAAATTGATTAGAAGTGTCCATAACTGTTAAATATATAGTTTCATTTTTGCACAATAAAAGGTTAAAATTTATTAATAATACAATTATTTAAAAGAATGACAATGAAAAGAAATGATTAATCGTATTCATTATTCTAAAAAATAGGAGGACGAAACAAATTAAATAAAAAATAATGTAAGTGTACACATTCCATTAGAACAAATTAATTTGGAAAAACTATGGATATGCTATAGCCTTCACAATGTATATATTTGTTTTTGTATTATCTTATATGGTGATCCATTTTATACACAAAAATAGGGTAACATATTAACTAATAAACAAAAAAAAAATATAACCAGACTCATTATTCCACCAAAAAAAAAAGGAAAAAAGAATAGTTACACCATATAATTGTGTAATGATGCTTACAGTTGTATATATTATTCTTGGTGTATAAAAGAAAGCAAAAACAAATTCGTATTGATTACGAATAAATTAATGTCCTATTATCCATAATGAAAAACACACTCTTACATTTTTTTCATGAAATAGGACACTGTGCGGAAATTATAATTCTTCAAAATTCATACTTTCTCACTTGTATAATGCTTAAATTATGTGTGCATTAGAGATGAATTTAAAGTACCCTTATCAGCTTCATGGTAATAAAAGGGTTTTATATAGATGCTAATCTTTTCAATATTACTATAAATTTCAATATATATCCATATAAGAATTTACATGCGTATGTTACGTTACATACAAATAAACAATATTCTTTTTAATTCTCATATTACGTAATATATTTTTGCATTAATAGTAAATTAATTGTTCTTGTTTTTCTTTTAAACATTAAGATTTACAGAATTATCCCCCCCAATACACTTTTTATAAAGTGTTTCACTAAAACCGTATTTTTACTAGGATATTGCAGTTATGCTTAAAAAATAAATAATTATATCTGTAATTATTTAAAATAATATTTAATTTTATTACACACTTTAGAAAAATGATTAAATTACTTTGATGTTGAAAACATTTATATTTCTAATGTTAAAAACAAGAACAAAATTATTAAGTATGACAAAATATTTTTAATAGAATAAGTAAAACTTGGGGTATGAGGATATATATACTGTAATAGGAAAACATATTAATGAATATTCCAGACATCCAAGTGCATAAGACTGTTTTGAATCATTACAAGATATACAATCAAGAATAGCATTAAAGCTTTAAACTTTTTCCTTTTTTCCATATTTTTCTATTTTCCTATATACACCTAAGCATTTCAGAATTACTAGAAAGGCGTATTTTACTATAAAAAAATTAATAACATATTAACATTATTTATATAATATTTTTAAGATACAAATTTTATAAAAAAAACGTTTTTCTTGGTTATAATTTTTATAAAACACAAAGTATAATGTATAAAATTTAAATAAGTAAAAATTAAAGTATATGTTATTGTAATTCGTAAAAATAATACCTAACATAATAAATAAAAAGCTATATTTCTCACAGAAAAAAAATTCTTTGGTTCATAATTTAGCAAAATAAGATGAAATATTTATTGTGATAAAACAAAAAAAATTTTTATATAGAATAACACAAGTTAAAACAGGAACAACTATCCAAGCATTTCGACAAAATTATAGTACAAAATTGTGACAATTTAAAAATGTCTTTTAATACAGATTAATAATAAAAATACAAAAGTTTTCGATAAACTTCATGCTTTCAAAATAATAACTTGTTTTAGAATATTACGTTATAGATGTACTGTTATATGCTTTGTTTCCATTGAATATGCATCTATATTAAAAGGGAATATTGTGTATATTATTAATGATATAAGTTTAAAATATTTTTATGTATAGAAAAAATGCATATAGAGATAGGAATTAGGAAAACTTGTATAGTTTTCTAAAAAAATTCACATAAATGTAAATCACAGAAAAAAGGTCATAAGTTTTATTGTTTGATTTGCATATGTACATGTAATTATGAGTGTTAATATTTTATTCGATTAATATATTACAGTATGAGATGGCACTTTTACCAGAGAATAATTGGGTATATTTATATTTTATAAATATTTAAGTATTCCAATAAATTATATTTTTTTAAGAATAATGGAAGACATTTTATTTAATGAAAAGGCGTATTTATATTTAATAACACTCATTTATTTCGTATATTTAACAGGAAGAACAATTACCTGATTTACCTGCATATCATGAATATAAAAAATTTGATGTAAACATCACTGATTATAGGCCTAGACAATGTAATGAGTTAGTAAAAGGTGATGATGCGGATAAAGAACTTTGTTATAAGATAGCAAAAAATTTAAAAGCTTTTACTAATGAACAAAATAGAAAGAAACAATTATATGGTTGCCATTACTTTCATCATTCGTTTCAATAACAAATAAGAAAAAAGTATTATAATGGAAATGTTAAAGGTAAAAAACATAACATTGTTGATAATCTTTTGGATTTCATTTCATTAGATGTTTTAACGCATAATATAGATCAAGCTTGCCTTGGAGATCCTTTTGGTGACCCGGAAAAATGGAAAAAAGAGAAAGATTTGCATGATTACTTTGAAAATTTTAAAAAAATCAGGTGTAATGATTCCGATATAGTTCTGTGCCAAAAATATGTAAATTATGTTAGATATATTGATCCTTTATATCAAAATAACATTTATAATTGCTGTGACGAAGACGAAATATTCAGTTTTACATGTAATCCTTCTATTAAATGTGATGATGAGTACGAACCACAAAAATTATTATTTGAAATAAACAAAAGTCTTGAATCATTGAGTAAAAAAGGAAAAGAAACATTTAAAGAAGAAACCGCATTGCAACAGGACGTACATTTGAGCTTTTCATCAGGAGAAGACATTGAACATAATAAAATTGATATAACACCTTACAATACAGAGATTAGAAGTAGCACAAAAATTATGTCTATCACTGATGTTCCTAGCAGTACAGAAATAATATATGATAGCTCGAATTCGAATGTATTCCATTTTGCCATCATAAGTGCTTCAGTGATTGGAACAATGCTCTTCTTTTTATATTACCACATGGTAATTACAAATTTAATGCTTCTATATAAGAGTATTATGTAAGAACTTACGATTCGAGTATCCTTTAACTGAATAATTAGAATGGGATACATTTAATATTGCTATGCATTTTCATTTTTGTATTAGTCTACTAAATTAGGATCAAGATCTCACAAAAAGAAACTGGAAAAAAAAAAAAATGAGAATAATTATCGTAAGGAATTTGGTGAGGAATCATCGACTTATGATTTAGATTCCATGCGTTTAGACGCACAAGAAAGGAGATTATATTTAATTTATAATTCCGTATAAGACTCCTTTTATTGATTACATATAGAAAGAGAAGCTATTTAACGTGATAATGTAAAAAAGAGTACTGATATTAAACTAATTATTATTAATAATAAAATACAGAGAATGAAAAAAATTAATGCTTCTGTAGATTAAAAGGTTAGATATTTTATCTAAAACGTCTAATATTTTGAAAAATAAAAGAAATTAAACACAAAAGAATTAACCAATGTTTAATTAATTTTAAAAAAATGAGTATAAACATGATACCGTATTAGTCACTTAGAAGTAAATTATGATACATTATAAACACATGTGAGGATAAAAGCTTATTAACTAAATAAAAATATTGGGATTATAATTTAGGTATATTTGAGTAAGAAGGGTTCTGAAAATTTATGGGAAATAAGATAATTACTTGCCATAATGTTACAATAAATTTTATATGAAAAAATAATTTAGGCTTGATCCTGAATATTAAAGTACATTATAAATATAACATATTTATATTTGCAAAAATTATTTTGCATATGTTTTTTATACATTCATATAATTAAAATTTTTTTTTTTAATTTATTTAGTTTTATTTTACTTTTTTTTTGTTGTTGTGGTTTTTTTGCCTCATTATTTTTTTAATTAAGCGAATAATAATTATTAATAGAATGTTGATTTATATAATAAAAAAATACTAAGTTTTGTGTCTATTAGAATCATTGTATTTTTTTTAGTCATAAACGTTACATTTTTCCTTAAATATTGTTTCATAAAGTGTTATATACACATTTATCATTCAAAGCGTTATATTAGTGATGTAGCATAATTAGGATTATATAAACATTGAAAAATATTAAAAAATATAATATTGTATACTGATATGACAAAACAACATTATTAGATTGTTACTGATATTTATTTTTTGATATATCTTTGAGATATGTTGACATGGTAAAATGAGGCTAAGAAATAGTGTAATTTTTTGTAAAACTTTTTCTAAACATTATTCTTATGTAAATATATATAACTAAAAGAAAAATTTGTTTTTGCTTAAATTATTATTTTAAGTTTTTTAAAAAAGAAAATACATATAACAAAAATTCTTTTGTAAATAAAAATAATAAAATTACAGTAAAATATTATTGGGCTTAATATCAAAAAAACTCGTTTACCTTTACATTGTAATGGAAGAAATGAAAATGTTACCGTGCTAAAAAATATATTTAAAACATTAACAATATAGATGAATAGAAAATTTTGGATAATTTTATAAACGTTCTTTTTAACACATCTTTCATAGTTTCTTTTAATGTGTTTTCTAATTGAATACAGAAATCTTTCATTTACACAACTATGACATTCATTTATTTAATTATTATATATATATAAAAAGTTTTAACATAGGCGTAACAACCAGGATGATGTGTTTATAAGAAATCTTTATATTATGGTGGAAAACTATTAAATTCTATTATATGATCATTACTTCATAGCTATTATATTTTATGTAAAAATTACATGTTTCCGAATTGTGCGAATTACAAAAGACTTTGATCAATTTTTTGTTAAAGTTTAAAAAAGTTGTAATTCCTGTTTTTCATAAAATTCTAATATAAATATGTATGCAACTGTTTAAATATAAAAAATACTTGAGATTATCACAATAAATGAATTTAATATACGATAAATAATACAGCAGTTGTGTACAAGATTTGTTAAATATCATTTATACCATTCATACTTGACCATATTTTCTTTAATTCCTAAGAATATAGTATTAAAAATATGAGAGCATTTGTAATATAGGTAAAATATAACATGACTTGAGATTCATAAGAAAAATATAAAAAATATCTCCAATCTAGATTAACCTTTTAGGATGTTTAAGAAATGTATAATTTTTAATTATCTATAAACAATTGTGCAAATGGGGCTGAGAATAATAATCTTTTATGCGAAATCATTTTCCCTCATTGTTTCAAATAACTTTGGAATTAATTTTGTAAGTAGGACAAGTTAGAAATTTACATATTCAGTAATAATTATTATATAATAAAAATTAGCGATTATACCACTTTATTCTAAGCGAAATACATATTTCACATTCCAGTAGGATATATCTAACCAAACGATTAAATATATTCCTTTATGTTATTATTTATGATGATTTTTAAAAATTACATATTTTACATGTATCATTTGAGGATTCCCTACAAATTTTATATACATTATATTTCATCTATCCTTACTTCAGATTAATTAGGAGTACGTTAATTTACGAAGTATTTTTTGCATTGTGGAGTTTTATGAGGTAGTATATCAGAATGAACCAATATTCGATGTGTTTTTTTTTATTTTGTCCCATTACAGAAAGTCTTTGTATTTTATTTAATTTTTGCTTTTAAGTTATTGAAAATTTATGATTATTTATTAGGTCCATTTGGCCCTAATGTTAAACTTTTTTCTATGAATGATTATTCTTTGTGTTCACATGAAACCAATATTTTTAAAAAATGTTTTATCAGTATCATTTAATGTGTTCATTTCTATATTAAGTAAAACATACGGATCCCCATTATATTTCTCCATGGGAACTTTATATTACGTCATATTTATCTACGTCGATCTAATTGTTTACAGATTTTATGAATAATTATTTTTTTAATAATACACTTATTTTAAATATTAATTTCGGAAAAAAAATAAAATTTGTATAATTTATTTGTAAATGTATTATATTCTGTGTCTTTATTATTCTTCATGACGCTAAAAAATTTTTATTTTTACTTATTTTTGTTTGTTATATAAGAATCAATTTTCAGCATGATAAATTGTACTTTATACTTTGTCAAGTATATTATTTTAATAAATTAATAATCCTTAAAAATTATAATTATAAATAAATATTATATCCTAATATATTATGATAATGAATTCAATTTAACCAAGAGAGAATGCTGAAGACAACATAAAATCGCTTCTATAATAAATAGAATGTTTCTTGCATCAAAAAATGGATTGTGATAATGTTATGAAAAAATTATAATTTTTACTTATTATAAATGTATATAATTGGAAAAAAAGCTCATAAAAATTTGTCCGATATAAATTATTTATTAACTTAAAAAAAAAAAAAAAAAAAGCAGTGAATAAATTACTCATTCAAAAAGTATTAATGTTGCCATAAATAAAATAAAATGTATACTGAATTATTATGATTTAATATGTAACATAGAATTGATATATACATATATCGCGTCTATTAAATTAATGTTAAATATGAAATAAGCATTATATAATATTATATATATTAATACACGCTTATATTTCAATAATATATTTTCACCTAGCAATTGTTTTTTAATTATAAAATTTAATATATTCTTAAGGAATTATTTTATTATGCTATTGATACTATTGATTCATAATACTGAGTAAATATAATTTTAGTTCATACGATCCGTAAAAAAAAAGGTATATATCATAATATAAGTAATTTATTATAGAATAACCCAAAATAAGAAAAATATAAAAACCCATTAAATTGTATAACTAATGGTTTATGAGATGTAATGATGCTATATCGCTAAAAACTTATATTAGACAGAATAAATAATGAAATTATATAAACATAAAGTGTTAATACATACAATATATATATTTTATAAGGCTTCTGTTTTGTTATGTTTTTATCTATATGGAAAAGCTATTATCACAATTGTTTCCAAATAAGCTCATATGATTGAACAGACGTATATCTAATATATATAAAGCATATATATAATTATAAAATGATATTGTATTCATTTATAAATCTACTTTAATGGTTAAATATTAATAAATCATTATTAAAAATCAAATATCACTTTTAGGTATAAATAATATAAAATTACAATAAATGTTGTTAATAAATTCATGTAATTTTCTATATAAATGTAACGAAGTTGCTAAATCACGTAGTCTGTCACCTAAAATTTCCCTTTAAATTTTATATGGTGACTGGTGTAATAATATTCTACTTTTTTTACGTATAATTGCACATATTAATAAATTATAATATATTCAATTATTTATTTTCGACATGAAATGATTATTTAAATGTTCTATAAGTCCCCTCTTTTTTTTTAATATTTACGTTATAAGAGAGTTACAAATAATGCCGGAACTATAGAGGAAGTATGTATAAAATTGACTGACGATATCATAGCAGAAGACACTTACAATAACAGTATATTAAGTCAAACAAAGGCTAAAGATGAAAAACTATTCAAAATTGGGTGCTGTCTGGATCATCATTAAAAAATGGCATTGCTGAAAACAATAAATAATACAAATTTATGTGTTTGCTTGAATGAATGGTTAAACACTAAAAAGCAAGATTACCTAGAGAGTTCTAATAAATCTGATAAGTTAACATTGTGGGATGATAACATAGAGGCTTTGTGGAATGAATTACAAAATGCTGAGGATATCAAATGGTGCACTAGAGATCTTAATATATATGAACGTTATAATACATCAAAAGAGTATCTAATTTTTCATTACCATCATTAAATGACACTCTCGTTTTTGTTTTTATGCCTATTATTTTAACATTTCTTGTGTTTTTGATTATATTTAATGTAATAGATAAATTATTGTAAAAAATTATGCATATTGTTTTAAGTAATATTTGTAATGCTTCAACTTTAATATCACTGAAACTATATTATTATGTTATATTTTCCATTAATTTATGTTTTATATATAGTTTACTAAAATTAAAAGATCTGTCCANNATATCTCTTAGTACATAGTAGTGAATATTTTCCTATAGATTTTGAAGGCAAAAGAATTAATATAGTTTATGTATCAAAATAAAATTCTTAAGTAAAGTGTAATTTAAAACAAAATGTTTAATATACAATATTACATTCATAATATTCATTTCAAATATTATTACACCATAAGAATTATAAAAAAAAAGGAAAAAATATATTGAATAAAAAAAGTCAAATTGATAAAACGAAAAAAGGTGAACAAATAAA